ATTCCCCTCCCCAGCTGTCGCCTTTAGCCTTTAACTCGATCCGTCCACTTTTCTCGCCGGCTCGACCATCACCGCAGCTGCTGTCACGAAGCTACCACACACACACACACACACACACACACACGCACACACACATAAAATAAATAAATAAATATAGAAATAAATATATAAATCACGGACTGGCTGGGAGGTGAGTCCTTGCAATGCCAACTCAGCAAATTTCCATCACCTGCCTCTTCCTTCCCCCCCCACCCACCATCACCACTGCCCTGGTCCTCTCCTCTTTTGCACTGGGGAGGGAGAGAGGGATGGAAATACTCTGCTTTGAAGGCATAAAGCTCACTTTCAGGATGGGGGCTGCCAGGGAGGAGAGAACCAGAATAAACCAGCCCCCAAGCCCCTCCACACACACGCACATACACACACACAGACAGGCGCAATGGATTGGCTTTCACACCAGCAGGAACATCCCGTTCTGCCCACTTCGGCAGCACATGCGGAGTTCTACGCGTTCCTACACATCCCCGGACATGCACCAAGGCCTCCGAGGCAGGAAGGTGCCCCGAACTCATCGGGAAGGCTTCCCGGGCAACTTCAGCTGGGTCAGCTCCTGCAAGGAGTCTCCCGAACACCGCGCTCCCCGCTGTGGAGACTTAGCTGAGCACTGACAACTTCATCACACCAGCTGAGGGGTGGGGGGGGATTGGGAGAGGGGGAGCAAAGCATCTCCTCTCCTGCTTTGCAGCAGCTAAAGGTAACTGAGAGAGAGACAAGGGGAGACCCAAACAGTCCAAAATTGAGTGTAACAGCGGCAGGGAGAAGGGGCTTTTCCTTACCTGCTCCGGGTGAGACGCGCCGTTTAGGAGTAGGAGCCAGTGCCGGAATGCGTCAAGTCGCCTTGCAGCAGCATCCGAAAAAACCAAACCAAAACAAAAACCGCAGCGGCAAACTTAACCCTCCTCCTCCTCCTCTTGCGCCCCTCTTTATAACACAGATCGCTTTACAGGGCTGCCTGCGAGACACTGAAATATTCATACACTGTCTTAGGCTGCACCAAGGGCGACTGGGTTCAATTAGTTTCTGCTGAGAACCGCAGTGGGGGGTGGGGGGTGCGCGTGGCAGAGAGTGCAAAGTACCTTTTCCAAAAGGCTTGAGTTAGTCAATAAAATCAAGGAGTCCTAGATAGCCGCTGGCTCTCTTCCCTTAGGACAGCTGGAAAAGGAGCCGGGCGCTGGGCAGCGGCGGCGGGGGAGACGTCAGAGCGCCGCAGCCCTGCAGCCGCATCCCCAGAGTCGGTCTTGGCTCGTCCCGGCAGCAGCAGCGTTGGAGGCAGGAGGAGACAAGAGCTGGACGCGTGCGGCAGGAGTGAGAGGGCTGCTGAATGCATAAGAGCGAGGAGCAAACTCGAGCCATTTCTTGACGCTGCAGTATCAGCAGAAACCTGAGAGCTATTTGGTGCAGCTCGGGGATCGGGAGGGC